ATAGTAATAGGGTATTAGGACATGCACGCACAAAATAACCACCCTATCTACACTAGGTGCAGACCTTTGCTAGTTTCTATATATTAAACAGGTCCTGTAAGATCTAGTTAGGACGTGATATTAGTAGTTTAGTAAGTGCACTTAATAAGGCTACTACTTCTACTATATTTATATTGCTATCCTAATCTAAGGTAGACTTTTACTAGGGTTCCTTAGACTTACTAGCCTAAAGAAAACCTAGTTCTAGAGAGGCTATTTTAATATCTACCATAATTGTCTTGTATTCCTCTATAGCTATATTATAGTTTGTCCTAGAGACTCCCCTATTAAGGGAAACTAAGCGTATATAGCTATTAAGAGATTGCTAAAGTTATAAAAGCTTCTATTTATTATCCTAGTATAACCCTCTTAACTATATAAGAAGCTATATAAAATTTACAAAGAACTCTATAAAAGGCTAATTTTAGCCTTAATATAAGTATTCTAATATAACTTAGGCGTGCTCCTGCCTGTAATAGTTGCTATAATAGAACGCTAGGTAGTTAAGAAACCTGCTTATATCCTAATACTTGCGTGCACTATCCTTAAAGTATAGTGCTATAGCGCGCTAGACTATAGGCGATAACTAGGACTAAATATATATAAACCTTGCCTCCTTATCCCTAATAAAGACCTTATCTGCACGCAGTTTAAACTCTATAGTTATTTACTAGGAGAAGAAGTTTACCTTAGTGCTATTATATAGTAAGCTAACTAGGAAGGGTTTGTAATATAAGGTAGGAGAGGGCGGAGGCAGCATATTATTAAACCTAGTAGGCTTAGAGGAGGGTTAGGATAGAATCTAATTGCGTATTTCCTTGTTCTATTAATATAGTATAGCTATTATAGCAGAGTCTTAAGCCTATTATTCTATTAAACTATAGACCTGTTGTATTAGCCTTTCTACTATATTAGGTTGCACCTAGTTATTCTAAATATCTAGCGCGTCTATCTCTTATTACTATTATAGTATGTTTAGAAGAAGATACTAAAATATTATAGACTAGCCTTAAGGGAGAATATAATAAGCGTTAATAATAGTATTTAGTATCTTAAAGGAGAGATAAGCCCTCTACGCCTTTTTATGGGTGTCTAGTGTGTTCGCTTAGTAGTGGTGTTGGACTTGGTCCGTCTTGTGTTAGACCCAGGCTTAGGCATAAGCCTAAGCCCTTCATAGAGATAAAGGATTTATATAGGTTATAGATTAGGGTCTTACTACCTAAGATAGTAGTAATCTAACTTACTTTAACGCTATAATAGGTAGCTCCTAGGAAAGACCTAGAGGGGAGAGTGCTATTAGTAGGTTACTCTATAAGAGCACAGAGATAGGTAAAGGCACCCTATCTAGCTCTTATAGGGGTAGTAAGCAGAGCTCCTACCTACCTGCTTTAGGACTAGATTCTGTATCTCCTGCAGATCCCTTACAAGCGGTACCTAGAGCTCCTAGAAGAAGTAGAAAACTGCGCATTAAAGGACTGCCACTAACGCGTGTTAGTAAGCAAACTTAGGGATAGGACCCTAATAAACTACTAGGAGGCTTTATAAGTGCAGGGATATATATAGTAATAGATCTATTAGATATAGATCTAATTAGAAATCCCTTACATAATCTTTTAGTATATTCTAAACTAAACGCTATAATCTATACTATAATTATAGTAGTAATAGGGAGTAAATCTCCTAAAAACCCTAAAAGAAATACGCACTAGGACGCTCTATAAAAAGAGCTAAAATAATAGAAGGATCTCTATAACTACTAAATAGGATAGCAATTTAGAGATATAGCATATAAAGAAATTAATACTCTACTAAAAGCTAGTACCTAGAAGGAGATTAATAGGCTAAATAAGAGAGAGCGTCTACTCCTACTTAAATAGGTGTTTATATATAAGCTTAATTAGGATAGTTACCTAATTAAGTGTAAAGCAAGGATAGTAGTAAGAGGAGATCTATAGCTTACTAACTTAATTTATTTAACCTACGTAGCTACCCTAGTAGCTTAAACCTTTAGGACTATAATAGCTATTAGAGCTAAGTTTAACCTTAAGATATATTAATATAACGTTGTTAGAGCTTTCCTTAACACCTTAAGGGATTAACACCCTATAGTTATCTTTAAGCTACCTAAAGGATATTAAATACCTAGAAAGTGCGTTAAGCTTAAACAAGCTCTATATAGACTAAAAGTCTTACTATTATTATAGTATAATAAGCTCTTAACTATACTCTAAGAAAATAAGCTTATTACTTCTAAAGAGGAGCTATACCTATTCTTTAATAGAGATTATAGTATCTTGTTAATATTATATATAGATAATATCCTATTGCTCTATTACTAAAACTACGCAAGCTAAGCTTATAAAGTTATCTAAGCTCTAAAGTAAAGATATACTATAGAAGGAAAGGGACCTGTAAGCTAGTTTCTAGGGGTAAGAGTAATCTAGGATAGAAAGAGACAGATAATAACGCTTGTTTATAATAAATATATTAACAAGATTACAAAGAAATTTAATCTAGTAGAGATAGGAAAATTCCCTACTACACTACTATTAATTAAAGATATTAAAAACAGCACAGGAGAAGCTACTAAACAAGAGATTAAGGACTATTAGGAGCGCGTTAGATTAATCCTTTACATCTTAATTATAGTGCGCCCTAATATTACCTATATAGCCTCCTAGCTCTCCTAATACCTTACTAACCTATCTAAATAACACTTTAATACAGTTAATTTAGTAACTATCTATCTATACTAAACTTAATACTAATTAATCTAATATAGGAATAGGGATCCTAATAAGCTTATAATATATAGTAATACGTTATTTACTAATAATATTAATACTTAGCAATTATTACATAGATACCTAATTATACTCTTTAGAGGACTTATTATTTAGAAGGTAGCTTAATAAGTAACTATTACTACTTTAACTACTAAGGTAGAGCTCCTTACACTTAAGTAAGTAAGTAAAGAAGTAATAGCGTTAAAACACTTTTTAACTAAAATACACCTTACTTTAGATACTACCTAGATAATTAATTATAATAATTAACAAACTATTAGGTTAGTAGTAGGTAATAATAAAAGGATTACTACTAAGCTACGCTATATAGATATTTAAAATATATAGCTTAGATAAGAGTATATAAAGGGATCTTTTTATATTACCTACCTACCTACTAGTAATATACTAGCTAATAGGCTTACTAAAAACCTAACTATATAATAATTTATAAGGTTTAGGGAGTACCTAAAGTTATATAATAGTAGAGTATATATTATATAGTATTAATTAAAGTAAGGTAGTATATAAGATCTATTAATATATAATATAAGAATAACTAACTATAGCCTACCTCTCTATTATTAACTAGGTAGCTTCTCTAAGGAGCTCTATTACGCGTAAGAAGCGTGCCTTAGAGTCTATAGAGAGCTACCTAGGTTACCCTAGCCTAGGATCTATAGAGGGAACCTTAGAGGAGCTAGAGTCCTTATCTTCTAATAAGGAGCTCTAGGCGCCCTTAGCTATAGTATTAGCCTTACACGTAAGCTTAGTAGTAGTAGTAGTAGCTTTTACTAGCTCCTACTACTTAACCTTACTCTTCTTAAGGAGTACTAAGACCCTCTACTTCTTATCCTTAAGAAGGTCTTAGCTCTTACTTACTTACTTTCTTACTAGGAAGGATAGTGTAGAATATTAGGTAAGCTTAGGGCTATTAGTTTATTAGTATAGATCTTACTAAGTATTATAGAGGAAAAATTCTAATATAGATTATATATATTAGGATATAGCTATACCTAGAGAAGTACTACTAGTACTAAGTCCCTTTACTAGAAGAGTTATAGCACTTGCTATTAGACTTATTAAAGAGTATAGAGTATAGATAATTTAGATAAGTTTTAGTATAATAAATACTAGGCTCTTTATAGTAGGAGGATCTTAGGCGTCTCCGTGTAGGAGCTAGAGAGGGAGTAGGAGCAGGGATATTAGGTAGGGTCTAGGGAGGAGCAGGAGCTAGAGTTAGAGTTAGAGCTAGAGTAGTAAGAGCTAAGGCAGAAGCGCCCTTCCTTAGCTTCTTAATCTTAACTATAGTAGTAGTAGCTATATACTTAGCTACTATACGCTCTATAATAGCCTTATGCTTAGTAGTAGTATACTCTTCTTTAGTAGTAGTAGCTTTAGTAACTATAGCTTTAGCTATATAGGAGGTAATAAGGGTAGTATAGGTAGAGTAAGTATAAGTAGTAGTTTTTAACTTTAACTAAGATATAGGTTAGTAGAGATATAAGTATAGTTTAGACCTTTAAGGTTATATAATCTTATAATTTAAGCTATAGTAAAGATTATAGTTAAGTAGATAGAGTTATAGAGCTTAGTCTAGATAATATCTATATATATAAGTGTAGGCTAAATAAGGAAGGTATACTAGTTAGTATCTAAAGGGTAAGCTAATTTAACCCTTTAGATATATAATACTCTAATTAGCTATACTACCTACTAACTATAAGCGTAACTATAATAATAAAAGATCTACCTATACCTAGGGGGTGTGTTATAAGAGGGATATTAACTAGATTATAGAGTATCTTAATCTAATTAATCCTAATTAATACCCCTATATAACCTACTATCTAATTAACTGCTAGCTTACTACTAAGTGCCTAATAAAAAGCAGGGGCTCTAGTAAGGAAGGTTTACTAATTATTCACCTTCTAGTAAGGGTAGCTAAAGCTCTATATATATAAGTCTAATCGTAGTAGATATAATCTAATAATCTATCTCCTAAATTATTCCTAACCTTAGTAATCTAGATTTCCACAAATATTAATTAGCGTTAGATTAGATAATTAGATCAAGATGCTCTATACTCTAATTTGTATCCGCTCTACAATAGGTAGATTGACTAATATTAATTAAGGATATTGATTAGCGGTTAGATTAGATAATCGGATCAAGATGCTCCGCGATCTGATTTGTATCCGCTCTGCAACACCATGCTACCTCTAGCCACAGAATTTCGATTTCCAGCCACAGCCACAGCATTCGATTTCTAGCACAGCCACAGCCTTTCCATGTCCAGTCTTCTCCACCGCCTTCTCCAAATGGATGATACAATATCTTCCGCCCCACCATCATCTCTCCACCCACGGTCTGTTCCGGGCTGTCTCCTAGCCTTTTGCACAGTTCCTGCAATGGCTGGGCAGACAGCTTATTTAGCTATCTGACGTAGTGTCCTCGCAAGCGCCGCCTCCTCTGCCGCCACCCTCCACGCCCAATAGGCTCTCGCTTCGCGATCCTCAGCCCACATGCCATCGCCATCGTCCCGCGGCCTCCATGGATCCGCGGTAGCTGTTCCTGTTCCTGTGTCGGTGCCTGTCTCCAGCGGGTGCGTGGCAAGGTAGTTGTTGTACAAGTAGTCTCGCGCCGGCGCGGGCCGGGCCATGCGCCAGCCCCAGCCAAACACCCAGCCCCTCCCAAGCCACCACAGGCGCAGCGCGCGGCCCACGACGCCCAGCACCGTAAACACACCCATGGCCTCTACCAGCAGCACGGCACCGCTGAGCAAGGCAAGCGTGGCGGCGACGACAAGGGCCCAGTAGATGGCTTCAGCGCCGGGTCCAGGGTTAACGACGTGGGCGAGGGTGCGTGCGTGTACGACGAGCACAACCGGGGGGGGCATGAGGGCGGCCAGGGCGACCATGGTGCGCAACGAGGCGCGTCTAGACCGGCAGGCGAGTGAGCAAGGCGCAAGGAGTAGAGCACCGAGGAGAGCGAGTGTGGCCCAGTCTGACTTACCCGCACAACAGGACAATTGGCACAGCTAGGGCAAGCACCGTGGTGGCAGCGAAGAGCAGGCCGGCGGCCGACATGGCAGATGACATGACAGACGGCGTCGTGGCTGTCGACAAGGCCGCCGACGGTGTCTGTGGGCTGGTTAGGGTGCACTGTGCAGCACCGCTTCTGCGCCTTGGCTTTATCCTCCTCGTTGCCCGTGAAGCCGTCCCGCTTACGCTTCCGACCGCGCGGCAGTGTCGCTCGCCGTCTACTCGCAGCAGCAGCCGCTGCTGTACTTGCTTCCGTGGCGGCCAGAAGCCGAGCGAGTGCGACGAGAATGTAGAGGTATGCCAGGTCGAGCAGGCTGCGCAATCGCCGATTCACTAGCACCGTGGGCATGATGCTCATCCAGCCATGAGGAATGGCTGATAGTTAAAAAGACATTAGCCAAGTAGCAAACTCGTCGTCTTCGTCGTCTGCGGCCAGGCCAACACCACCAACTTTACCCCTGAGGCCCTCCACCACCACCGTGTTTCACTCGACCCACTCTCACTCTTCATCCCCCTCTGCCACTCCTCTCAGCCCTGTCTTGGAGCCTTTGGTAGCAGCTGCATCTTCCCATTTGATTTGCACCTCTCGCCAGCCTGTCTGGTTTCACTCGGCCAATTTCGATTCCATTGCGATGCAACTCGCTGCACTCTGCCGCACTCCCAGACGGGAGCTGCGAATGGGGGCAGGAACACATGCATCTCTGCCTCCTTCAACTCCATTCTCCCCTCCCGTGCCGCCATCGTCCACACCATAGTCAGCATGTCGAAGCGTACATTTCCAGATGCTGGCGAGTGCTCTTCTTGTTCTGACCGCTCCAAGAGACCCATGCCCAGCACCGCCTTCCATAACGACAATGCCACGGCTTCGATTTACAGTCCAAGTCCAGTCATAGGCCTCTTTGCATCGCCTGCACCCACCTGCTGGTCACCATTGAGTTTTACCTGTGGCCTGTCCTGGCCACACTTCATGGGCTATCAGATGCAAATGCCGATGCAACACCAGGCCTTTGCATATCCACTTCATGCCTTCCAAACGCCCTTTGGCTTCGAGTCGTCGATCTTCACGTCGCTGCATCCGGCCACAAATCTAGAACCAAATTCAGGGCAGATGGAAGACGTCTCTTCATGCTCACAGTCGACTGACGCTGCGCCGCCTGGTAGTGCACTCGCGCACGAAACCGGCCAGTACTGTGACGATAACTCAAGTTTTTGGAACATGGATGACTTTTCTCCTTCTCCGTTGGCTAGCTATGACTCGAGCTCGTGGCAAGGTGTGACTCATTGTTTGCATGCTGGGGGTGTGCTGACTTTGGACAGACATTGACCTAAGATCTCACTCCAACAACCCTGGGCTCAGCAACACGTCTCTTATATTAGACACGTCATTTCCCGCCTTAGAAACTCCTTTGGCTACTGGCAATCAAGTGTTCGACAATATCTCAAGCGCAATCAATACAATTGCATGCCCAAGGTTAGGCAACTCCCCCCCCCTGCATCATGGCGCACCTTCTACGCAATTGGTGGACTTCCATCACTTCGACTCAAACAACGGGATCGTCGTTGCACCTGCCCTTGGCCAAGCATCATCTGAAGCTTCCATCCTTTCGACCGCATCGACACCTCACGGCGAGCGTGCCACCTCGCCACCAGAGGGCTCGACCACCCAGTGGTACCGCCGCTTCTTCGGCTACGACTATTCCCTCGACATCGAAACGGTTCAATTCATCTCTCAGCGTGCCCTAACCATCTTCGCCTCCCTAGCTAATCCATCTGACCCAACACCTGTCATGTACGCGAAATATGTCGCCTTCATGATGAAGCTTAAATGCACCGATGTCGTCAGTATCGTCGTATCTCTGGTCATGCATCTCTTCTTCTACGTTGCAGACGATGTCGACGCCTGTCTGTGGGCTGCTAAGAGTAGGATGTTGGCTAGGTCGAAGACGCGGAGAAGAATAAAGCGCGAGTCAGAGTTGTTCGACGCATTACAGGACCACTTGCCACCAGGCCTGAGTTACAAGGAGTTTGTGGCAAACATGAAGAAGTGGCGCAAGGTGGGCTCCCAATATGCCTTCCTGGCGCGCCGGCTCAGTCTTGGGGCTCTGGTGCTTGCAAGGGTGTGTATTCTCCACTTGTACCCTCTTCATCTCGTCACCATTCGCTAACCCTGAGCCAGAACCTCCTGCTCCCACAAAGCATGTGGGGCTGCGCACAAGGCAATGACCGCCATAGCGCCTCGGAAAACGCGCTCTGCTACCTCGAGGAAATTGGGCTTCCAGAAATGGCTCGAGGGGTCAAGAGTGAAGAGTTGATGCATAGTCTGCTTTGGGCAGTCTTTGGGAAGTTCGAAGAATTTGGTGCAGTAGAGAGTGGGAGTGAGTTTGCAGGATTTGAACGGCCACTTCCTATCACAAGAGACGACTTCATCCTTTCTTCTACGAGCCCTGTGTAGTGCAAATCTTGTCCATCCGTCTTAACTAGCTTTGGACCGATATAGTTGATGTGTTGTAGGATTAGCAAGTAACCTTTGCGCAATTTTATTAGGTAATCTCTTAGTCTTGACAAGATAACTGTATAGAGTAAATAAGCCCGACCCTGTAGCTGTCTCACAATCCTCTTTAATAAGTTTCGTCATCACAGTACCATGATCCATGGAATATTTCACAGATGCATGTAAATGTGCTTCGAGAGTTTTTTCAACTGTCGCTTGTGCTTAGATGGCTATTAGGAGTACTAGACGAGTCCATAAAAGAGTATGTGAGTGTGCTCGACGGCACCTATATGTCGATTGTGACGACGGAGCAACAAGAACTTCAAGGCTATCAGGGTGTTCAGGCAGGGTGGAGACGATGGCCTTTTAACCTGCAAAAGGTGCCTGTCACTTCGCTGCATCACCCCCACCAAATGGTTTGCTACTGAATGTATATCTAGACAGTGGCTCTGGTTGTGAACAGTAAGCTGGTAATGATGCAGATGTTTGGAGGCATGTTTGGAGGCATGAAGTAGCTGGAGTCACGACGGGAAGCAGCCAAAGTCACAAAGTAATTCATCGCCTTCGGCAATAGCTTGACAGTCTTTGGACAAATAGTGAGACTACCACTAAAGCCAATAAAAAGGCACTTGCTTTCTCAGTGGTTGTTCATCCACGCTAACATTCATAGAAGGATGCTCAGGCACGAATTACCCAGGGAGTCAGTCTTTTGCTATCTAGCTACCAAGCCCAATAACTACCTACATCTAGTTCTTAGTGATGTTGGTATTGCGCCTAGTGATGGAGACTAGGTAAACATGTCCATGTATACAAATAGGTTGCTCTTAATACTTAATACTAACAGCGCTCGCATCTGTATATACTAGTAAACCCTCGAGCTCGTGGACACTCACCACTAACTAACCACCACTAACACCACACGACTGAAAGCCTTATATGCCAAATCTCTACAAACATCTATAGGACCTGCTTAAACTTACCTTCACGATAATAATCCTTGTCTTGCCTACTCTCAATTCACTCTATATAGTTGTACATGTGCCTTTAGAAGTCGCCGTCCAAGAGTAGATTATCTAGGCCGTGCTGGAGGCCGCGCCGCCGCGAATCTACTCTTGGACGGCGACTTCTGAAGGCACATGTACAAGGGCGCCCTTAACATGTCTTACTTGCATATCAGGGCCATGGGAATATATCCAGGAAACCTACTTGAGCGAGTTAGTCTGGTCGTTCAAGACCCTTAACATAATTATATTTAGAGAACAAGTCTATGTAATTGGACTCACATAACACATGTCCCTCTGTTAATCATCGCGCTGTGGCTTACAATCCTGATTGTGACCGACATATTGTCCATGTTTATGCCTCTATTGTTGTCGATGCTTACTTTAGTCTGTGCATACACCACCTTCAAAGAGTAGTACCAAAGAGGCCACCACTCAAAATTCAATAGCCACGTCCGTAGCATACTCTCGGCCATCATCCGTAGCATGTTCTCAGTCGTCATCCATAGGGAATAAAGTAAGTGTGGAAATTTGGATCACTAAGCTTAGGAATGATTTAGGAGATAGAATATTAGATTATATCTACTACAATAGGACTTATATAATTAGAGCTTTAACTACCCTTACTAGAAGGTGTATAATTAGTAAACCTTCCTTACTAGAGCTCCTGCTTTTATTAGGCACTTAGTAGTAAGCTATTAGTTAATTAGATAGTAGGTTATATAGGGGTATTAATTAGGATTAATTAGGATTAATTAGGATTAATTAGGATTAATTAGGATTAATTAGGATTAATTAGATTAAGATACTCTATAATCTAGTTATTATCCATCCTATAAGACACGCCCTAGGTATAGGTAGATCTCTTATTATAGTTATCTGTATATATAGTTAGGTAACTAGTGTAGCTAATTAGAGTATTATATATCTAAAGGGTTAAATTAGCGCACCCTTTAGATAGTAGTTTAGAGCTAGCTTGCCTTCCTTAGTTAGCTTATACGCTTACGCGCTAAGATATTATCTAGAGTAAGCTCTAAACTCTATCTACCTAACTATAATCTTTACTATAGCTTAAATTATAAGATTATATAACCTTAAAGATCTAACCTATACTTATATCCCTACTAACCTATTTTTTAGTTAAAGTTAAAATCTACTACTTATACTTACTCTACCTATACTACCCTTAATACCTTCTATGCTACTAAAGCTACTACTACTAAAGTTAAGCACGCTACTACTAAAGCTACTAAAGAAGCTAAGCGTATAGCTACTAAGTATAAGGCTATTACTAAGCGTATAGTAGCTAAGTATATAGCTACTACTATTATTAAGGAGGCCTTAATTAATACTACTTATAAGAAGTATATATAGTTATATTTAGCTAAGATTAAAAAGCTAAAGAAGGGGTATATTCCTGCCCTAGCTCTTACTCCTCCTCTAGCTCCATCTCCTTCTCTAGCGCTTACTCCCTCTCTCGCTCTTATTCCTCCTTAGACCCTAACTAAGGCCCCTACTTCTACTCCTACTCCCTGTTTAGCTCCTAAGGAGACCCTAAGATCCTCCTACTATAAGTAGCCTAGTATTTGCTATACTAAAACTTATTTAAATTATCTACGCTTTACACATTTTAATAAGTCTAATAGCAAGTGCTATAACTCTTCTAGTAAGGGGACATAGTACTAGTAGTACTCCTTTAGGTATAGCTATATCCTAATATATATAATCTATATAAGAGTTATTTCTTTATAATATATAGTAAGATTAAATACTAATAAACTAATTTAGCCCTAAGCTTGCCTAATATTCTATACTATCCTTCCTAGTAAGGAAGTAGGTAAGTAAGAGCTAAGATTGTAACGACTTAGGTAGGTAGGGGATCCAAAAGGTATCCTATACGACTCAAAGGCATATAGGAGTGCGCGTCTGTATAGAAAAGGATAAGATTCCTACACCTATAGGTCTTGTATAAAAGGATAAGAAGAATATACCTATCCTAACTATAGGCGAGCTGTTCTCTATATATATTAGTAAGTTAGGCCTTTATTAGGCCTAACTTAGTATAGAATAATAGGTAGGCAATTCTACCTTATTATTACACTACCCCCTCCTATAGAGAAAGGATAGTCCCTATCCTTAGGATTAGGTTTAGATCCCTTATTAAAGAAGAGCTTTTTGCAAAATAAATCCACCTTTACCTCTACCTTTACCTTCACTTCTTCTTCCTAGGGTATAGACCCCTATCCCTAGGCTATATATAACTAGCCCTCTACCTACTAACTTTCTTATTCCTATATCCCCTATTTTTTAATTATTTAACCTAACCTATCTAAAATCTAGTAAGTATTTAATCTATATAATTAAATAGTTACTAATCTAAATTAGAACCTTTAGCTATACTAGTACTAGTACTACTAGGAGTCCTCCCTATTGCTTATCGCGCTCTCTATATAAGGGTAGTTAGGGCTCTAGCTAGGGGTAGGTTTAATAATTTTAATTTTAAGTTAAAGAATTCTAAGAAGTGCTAGTACTATATCTCCTAGAATATATATTGCAATCTAGTAAGTATCTAAGTCTAATAGGGTTCCTTTACTAATTCTAGTAGATTCCTTCTTTTATTAGCCTAGAGTACTCTACCCTTAGGGGTACTCTAGATAAGTACTATAGCCTAGTAGTAAACCCTACTAAAGGGGATAAGGATAAGGAAGCTATAGTTACTTATTAGAAGGATATTAAGTAGTTTAAGGCTACTATTTAAGAAACTACCTAAAACCTAGCTAAGTGCGTTACTATTACTAATACTTAGACTAAGGGTATAGAAGCTACTAAAATTCTTATAGCTACTTATTATACTACTATATCTAATTTATATTAGCTTTAGAATAGTATCTATAAGATAGTCTTAGTAGTTAGGGGCTTAACAAAGGCTATTAATAAACTTAAGGAGGAATTAGCACTAAATTAAGAGGCAACTTTCCTAGTATAGGCTAAGATAAAGGTGTTCTATAAGAAGGAGTCTAAATTAGTCCTAGCCCCTACCCCTGCTCCCGCACCTGCTCCCGCACTAGTTGTCCAGAAGCTAGCTAAGAAGGGTGGTCTAGGTGCTATCTTAGCTAATATAAAGTCTAAACTAGGTTCTAATAGAGAGATAGATATAGAATAAAGAGGTTTCCTAGGGGTAGTGTCCTAGGAACCTTAAGGGTTCTAGGTTAGTTCTAAATAGGATATAATAATAAATAGCAATAAGAATAATAGTAATAGATAGTAGTTAATAGATAATACGTAGCTAAATAGGATATAAATTAGTTCTAATATTAGATATGATTATTATAAAGTAATATTAGATCTTCTTTACCTTTTTCCTAGGCTTAAATCTATTTTAGTAAGCTGCGTGGGGGACCTAGCTAATTTAGATACTATTAGTAGAATACCTGTAATTTATAGGGAGCACCTATAAAGTTAGAGGTAGGATACTAAACAGGATTAGGATTGTGTCTAACCTACTTAACCTTATATTTTAGCTTAGATTAATATAATTTGCTAGCTAGGATTTCTTCTACCTCCTATTCCTCTATACCTTGTATAGGGGTACTAGGGGGTTTTAGAGCCTCTTATCTAGGTAATAGGTCTTAGGGATCTTTGTATAGTATATTAGGAGAGAAAATATTATAGATCTTAGAACTAGGTAGCAATTAGAGGCGATAAGCGTTTCCTACTTATTCTAATACCTTAAAGGGACCTTCCTATTATTTAGATAGTTTTTAGCTAGATTATAAAATAGCAAGATTAGTAGTAGATAGATAAATATAGTTACTAACCTTCTAGTTAACTAGATAGTAATAGTAATTAGTAGTAGAGCGTATTTAGTCTAAAGCTCTTTCTATATTTTTTTTAGTAATCTTCTATATATTGTGTATCTAAGTAGCAAGGGATAAGGCGTCCTTATGGTTTAGTTTCTCTAGTATAGTAGATAGGGTCTTTTCTAGTTTCTAATACTAACTTTACTTTAGTAAGGAACTAAAGAGGAGCTAATATAGAGCTATGCTAATAGATAAATATAGAAGAGTACTTTAGGCACAGTCTATTATAGGTAGTAGGTTACTCTAGTTATCTTAGTAATAGGATATAAAAGGCCTTAGTCTCTAATTAATATACTTATTTATAATCTTAGTTTATCTATTAGTTTATTTATAGTAGGTAGTAGAGAGCTTAACTTTAGTGCCTATAATCTAACAGAACTTAGACTAGAAACTAGATATAAACTAAGGGCCTTAATTAGAAATAATAGTATCTAAAGTATATCTAAATTAGTACACCTACTAAATAAATAAGGTAGCTATACCTTAGGCGTCTATAGTTTTATAGCAAGGGATAGTAATAGCTTACTTTAATAGGCAATTAATAATAACTATAATCTAATTATATCCCTATTAATCCTAGGGAAAATCCTTAAAATTAATACACAGGTGTTGCATTAGTAGACTAGGGATAGGAAGGGGGTAAAGTATACTAGG